TCTTCCTCTTTGGCTTTCTCGTCAGGTGTTCGCCTCGAAGCATCCCGCCAACGTTCCTCTTTCTCATCGTCAGATGTTCGCCTTGTGCTCCAACCACGTTCCTCTCTCTCCTCGTCAAGCAATCGCCTTGGACGACCCCAACCACGTCTCTCTTCCTCATCACGCCAGTCACCTTTCTTCTTTACTTCTTCATCCTTATCATCTTCTTTGGGTTCAATATAAATTTCAACATCCGGAGGTTGTGGAAAATATACCGGCAATAAGTATCTATAGACATACAAATTATCATCATCGAAAACACAGAAGATGATTCGGTCGACCTAGAGAGTAAATGATTATAAATTAAGAAATGGGCCATGCCATATTGTTATCAAATACTGTTAAAACCACAAATACATACAAGGTCCGCGTTGGAATCGCTTTCCATCCACTCTCTTAAAGTTTTTAATGCCACGTGAGCAGCTGCATCACGCGGGAAACCATATATACCTGAATGCGTGAAATGAAAAAACGATGATGAATAAATATATTGTATAATCGAATTTCCTACTCATGGCATATAACATACCGGTACTGATATTAGAAAAAGCCTGATTTTGGGGCGTTTAAACGCAGAATGAAGTCGAAATAAGTATGTGACGGACGACAGCATTAACTCAAACAAATGAAATACGGTAGCACGTACTATTGTCCTCAGATTCTTCTCACAGAGTACTTCCATTGACCGTTGGTAACAACTACGCAATGCCTCTCGATTTTCACCAATTGGCCCAACGGTATGTATGATGTCTGTGATTATCAAGCGTCAGTATACATGAGGTCAACTAGGAAAGAGAATGGCGTGGAATATCATACGTTTTGCTGGTAGATCATATCCTAATAATATAATAAAAACGTGGAATTAGAATTATTATAGTTGGTAATGACATGAATCAAAATTGAAGTATGGTTTCAACCTACCTTTTGTAATCTTGGCATCCTATTAATTATAAGCACAGTTAAAACAGTGACTAAATAAACTAAATCCTAATAGCTCCCTGGTACGCCAACATACCCCAGTATCGCATCCGTTCAGGGACCGACATTCTTTCCACAGGAGGTCACCAGCAGCTCTACAAAAACACGTTGCAATTAAACAATGAAATTCCCGATTCCGTATACCGGAACCTCAACTGTCTGAATAATACCTATGAATGGCACCGTCGACTGTATGAATATTAGTCGCGTATCAGATGTGATGTAATATTGCGGAATAGTCAACTTGCAAACAAAAAACACGATAATTGCGTTCGATTTATTACCTCCGCCTCCTCCCAGTAGTGTTCTGTTTGCAGCGTTAACTGAAATGACATTGGAAAAGCGTGTCAACTGCGACTAATCCAATATATAAACAGAAAAAAAAAAGCAGCAGATCATAGTAACAATCATACCAATAGCATCTACCTTTAACCTGGTAATGTCTGCTTGACTGTAGAGAATGTTAAGCGATTAAAATACAAAGATCAGAATAAAAAGTAAACAATATGGAAAAGGACCTTACATAATCGATATCTTCTCATTGAATTTGTCCTCATGAGGAAAACTTGCCTCGACTGTTTTATGTGCAGAGACAGGGTGTTAATTAGTTACGATATTTATCAATTCGTTATTATAATACTGCGGATACTGTGCATACGTTTAACCGTTCTTTGTCTCGTTTTTCGATCTGGAAGCATTTTCAACTGTATGCCTCCGGTTTCGTAAACTTGCTTCAAGGTTGGGATATTTGTCAACTCGATGGGTGGAAGTGGTCGTCTATACATGTTGTTTGCGAACAGCAAAGAATGAAACGAACGGAATCTGATCAACATGAGGATACTTTATATACGCTGCTCGGCAAGTGTGACCAAACTTCCATATTACCAGTCATTTGTGATACAAATAGACAGTTTAAGTCACATAACCCAACCGTCAACGTGCTTGTCTCACCTGAACATGTAAGGGCATTATCTTCCTAATTCAGGCGATACAAAGCGCGTATTGGTATGCGTAAGCCATACTTCGTATTTGTTTCGTGGCTGAAAATTTGTTATACGTTGGATAATGCAGTCTGGATATCACTATCAAAATAAGCTACATTGATAATGGTTGAGGTCCCATTGTTACAATGAATTTGTCCATTCCGCGCAGATACGAACAGGTCTTATAATCTCAAGATGCGCAGCACTTGTAACCTCTTATTAGCAATGGAAAACCTTTATAAAATAGTAACAATAATAAGTATCTATTTTACTTCTAAACATCATCCTTATGTGTAACATTTTCGTCATTTCATTCTATTCATTAATGCGTAAATACACGAAAGAACAAATTAATATAAATTAAAGTGATATTACTACTCGTCGTCATCCGCCATGTGATTAATCAATAGCGAATTTAGCTCGTAATTCTCGCTATTGCGCGAAATCCTCTCGTTCTCGCCGCTGCTTTCTCGAGTCCGAACAGCACGATCTGTGACTAATGGCAGATGACGTCCATTCAATCTTGGTTCCAAATAGCGTTTGTCTTTAGCATTACGTCCAGTTGTCTGATATAAATCATAGAGGAACACGGTAAACAGATGGACTAAAAATGCCAGAGAAATGAGGACCAATATATATGAATATGGATCAAAGTGAGCTTCTTGTAGGAATGCAATCTGTTCCTCATTTGCGCCCATGAATAAAAAGCCCGAGAGTATTAATAACTAGCAGAAGAAAATTAGATAGTTTAATAAGTTGCCCGTGGCATGTGATTAGAATGAGAAAGTTTTATACTCACATATGGTGATAGATACTGAAATGGCCTTATCTTATCATCATCCTTCCATACAAAACATATCTCAATGACTCTCATGACACCAGCACCCATCAAGGCATATCCAAATACAGCGTGTATAATAGTAGATATCATAAGCTCTTGTTGATGCTTGCTCATGGCAAATCCAGTGAAGAATATTATTAACGCTGGAAATATATTACGTTTACCGCCTCTTGATGCATATATTCCCGCTGATCCGCCTGCCCACCACATTATTCCAAGAGCCGTATGCTAAGACGTGAGGAGGAATATAGTTAGCATAGATTGAATGCGATCCAATAAAACCGGAAATAATCAACTGTATTCACGCTCACAACAATAGTTTGGTGTCAATCATAATACCTGAAGATCTTTGTGAGTCCATGGCTATAAAACAAGATCGGTGTTAATACAATAGTTATCATGTATTTGTCTAACTAAGCAGTATATATAATGTAATCACCTGATTCCATCTTAATTCACGCGAAAGTAAATATTCATTAGTATTAATATATAAGACGATGCGTTAATGTCAGAACAAACTTACCGATGTTCAGTCCACGTGTTAACAATGCCCCATAACATGATTACCCAACTGTCATAATATTCTTGCGATTTGTTCCTGCTGCGAAGCCATCCTCCGCCAATTTTAAGCAGGACAAGCAACAAGATTCCATATCCGATAAATGAGGAACCCTAAAGTAATGATTGAAAAATGAGCACCCATAATACAATAAGTCGGAAAAAGAAAAGAGTCAAGTACCATTATAAAGTGGGCCAAACATTGTCCAGTATGATCGTGATCACTCCTATCAATGCAGAGTTATACTTAGCAACACAGTTTCGAATCCAAGTAGAACAAGTCAGATACTCACGCACCTACACCATCCATTAAGTGTTATTACACCGAATACCATCTGTATATAACCAATTATGGGAAGAAACACGCCAAATAACTTGTGCGTTGCTACAAATACTGGCCGAACCAGACCATTAAAACCTTTCTCCAAGTGTAATTTCAAATACACTCCCAGCGCAACTTGACCACTGAGAATAAGAAGAACGATCGTTGAAAATGCAGAATGAATATTTCCTGCGCTAAACTTGCGTCCACCATGAGCATGTCCCAACAGGAATCCAAGCACCACTAAGCCTGATCCCGTTATCTGGAAAGGAACATGCCATCGAGAACGACTAAGCCCAAAAATCATTCCTATTTCGTATATATTTGTTGGTGAATTAGTCGTGCAAACTATTCTTTAGAATTCACCATATTGTATATTTACCAACGGGAAATATTATTCCGAATGCGAGAAACATGGCAGCTATATGCGCCAACAAAACACCGTCGACTGGATCATCAGATATAGCCGCGCCATCTTCAAGGTCTTCGTGCTCATGGGCAATAGTCAGTGGTAAGAAACACACAGCCGTAAAGATCAAGCTGATTGCTGAAACCCCCAAGCGAGAGACTGACATTATTTTTCGATATAAGTTATAATTAGAAGTGACAATAAAATGTTGTTTGTCATGCGTGATGTCTAATAATAATTCTCTAGTAATTAATTATAACGGGTAATAAGTAATCCGAGATTTTTTAGTTTGTGTCATCACCCAAATATTAATACACCATATACGGTAATCGATGCAGAACATTTTGCACAACAATCAACACGCCAAGACTCGAGATACTTCACCTGTGCCTTACCTTTTATCTTTCCATCGCAAATGGAATTCTGGAGGTAACAAGCAATGTACTGCTAATACGTCTTTGGTCTCAATGAACCAAATAGCCGGTAGCAATAACGCAACAGAAACTTACTTTCGTTATTCCAACTACATGGTTTCCCACCCTCATTCAAGTCCGAGTCATTGTAGGTGGATTCTTGGCAGTCGACACATTAACATCGCTAGGTTGATCCCACGTTAGCGTTACATATTGTCATGGTATGTGACCAGTATGTTACTGTACATACTGTACATTAGCTACAACAAATATATGTTATTATCTTTCCGAAATAGGAAGCTCTTATTGCATAAACTTTCTATTTTTAATCACTCCAAATTTGGATAGTCTGATGATATTGTTGTATTAGTATAATTTACATATCCACTGAATATAGTACCTCTAAATTAGGACCCTGGGTACAATTCACAATAGTATGAATTTTATTTTTAAGACGATGAATTCTTTTCGTTTCGAATAATGCAGCGACACAAGGTTATCATTGCCCCTGTGCAGCTGGAGGGTATTCACATATGCTAGGATCCTCTGGTGTGAGAGTAGCTGTTTCGCATTCAGCTGAAGAATCGGGCAAGGGGAATCAGGTGTGGTGTGTCCTGAAAAAGTTTATTGAAAGCGCCAAGCGATTCGCAAACCTTTACAATTAGACTTTATAAGGATGACGGTTTCTCCAATAAATCGGATCGCGTACGCTAATTCTAGACAATTAATTATCCGAGTAATAAATACAATTCTTTACCGCGCTGGATTACGTCGGTAGTCTATCGTTGGAGTCTCAATTAGAAAATAATACGCGTTAGCAAAGACTAATTAATTATCGTAACGCTACTCAGTTGCTAGAGGGCAAATTGACTAGCCAACCTTATTCGTTATACGAATGATTCAGGGAAAGGAACAAAACGATTCTGGTACAGGAGAGACCGTACCCTAACCTTAACCATCCAGAAATTTGCAATGTCAAGGCATATCTCATTATGATACTATCATTCAGGTTAATCCGCCATGACCCCGAACGTGAACGTTGGGACAGCTTTTTTTTATACACCTTTTTAATATATAATTTTTCTTTTTCGGTTCGAATATTTTTTTAATTGAACAAAAGGGCAAAGATACACGTTCATTAATCCTGTCACCGCGAATTAATACACAATCTACTCAGAGTTTTGTAACGTCATCGACGTTGATAAATGTAGGCGTTCGGACCACGCTTCTGCTTTAGCGCTTGTAATTCCTGTTAACCACATTTTATCTTGTTTCAAAATATCTGAGACTGCCTGTTTTGATATCTTATGTGCTCCCTTGCCCATATCTTTTACTTGAATACAGGATTAGCTCTCATACAATTACATGTTTTTTTTTCTGTAATGCTGTTAAGATAACGCGGGTTTGTTTATTTGCATCACTTTGAAGCATCTTTTCGTTTATCATTTAAATCGATAAGGCCCTAAATCGATTTACTAGATGCGAGTAGCAGAAAAGAGAAAAAGAATCTTATTCTAATACTTAGTAACGGACTTCAGTGTGGAATTCCTCCTTAATATCGAGCTAATATTAAATGTGTTCGGGAAAAACTATTCCGGATCCGTTATATCTCTGTTTAATATTAAAGTCTGCTATAATACTTAGTCAACATTCCCGTCCTAGCACAAAGGCAAAATTCGTTATATCGGCACGGAGATCTTCGTTAAAGCGGGCTTTAGTAACTGAAATGGTGTCTCTACACTTGATATTTGCGGTCTGTAGTAAACACATTATACCAGCAGTGCTCCGCATGATAATTTTGAGCGAAGCGGGAGTGAGGACATGGATGACTGCATAATTTTTCTATGAAACAATCAATAGTTACGTATTCACGATATGCGGCGTCGGAAATAAATCAATTCCGAAATTTACGTTGACTGTACTCAGAAATCTGTATATGAAGAATTAGCAAAGCCTTTTCTTGAGAAAACATAGTCACAACCAGCGCTATCTCGATAGTTTTCCGTCAAAACTTGGTTTTTTTCTTTATAAAAGTGACGACTTGGTGTAAAAAAACATCACACAACATTACTAGGCTTTTAATATTTATGACTGCATACTGATATATTACTTTTTTATTACAGTCATAAGCATCTCCTACTGGATATAGGCAAGCCCACGTAGTCACGAGTTTATCCTTATTTAGGCGCATGACCATAGGAAAGTCAAAGTATTTCGGCATAACAAACAACCAATCAAAGGTCTATTTTATTATTCTAAATCGTTTCCACACGAAGTATATCTTTAAACTCCGAAAACCTCTTTCATATAAATAACATGTCGCGTACGACCTTTTTTTCCTTCACCGTCAGAAAACTATCAATGGAGAATAATCAACTGTTCAGCAGAACGAAAGACTTCGGTCTTTTTCAAAAAGTTATATGGCGAGAAGATATTTCCGCGCCGTTTTTTTGTTTATCAACATATTAACTAGGTAAACTTTATCAAATTTGTCGTGACACTATTAACAGTCATATCTGTGATAACTTATGTTGTCCATTATGTACAGTACACTAACCTTAAGTGATTCTATCCTGTTTCACATAATAACATCTTGATTTTTTAGAAAATCAAAACCATGAACGAGAGCCTCGAAAGTAAAATAACTTCGGGATTTGCGAAATTTGACACGAAATTCGAACTCCTTGACGCGAAATTCGGACTTTTCGAGCAAAACTTTGACCTCAATAATCAACAGTGGGATTTTTTGGACAGTAAGTTTGAAGAAAAATTCCGACAAATTAATGAAAAATACAACGGAATAAAAAAACAAATTACAGCAATAAACGAAGTTCTACCGTACCGCACCGCAGATTTCTCGCGGTAAGACTTTGTGAGTCATATTTCCCGAAATTAATAACTTTTGTCATTTGATTAATATGAAATTATGTAAATTACAGGTTTGGAGTTATTTTGTTCTTATTATAACCGTAACAATGCTTGTTACGATGTAATGTTCGTTTTATCGCTTAACTAGGAGGTAAAAAACTATAAGAAAACAGCTAATACATATTGTATTGCTGACACACTATTACTTAGTATAATAAACTTCAATTGATTTTCTCTGATACACATCGATAATTACGAGGCTGATATTATTAATAATTCAAGATACACAGAAAATCATTGTAGGAGCAGATAACGAAATAGACGGTGAATATTAAAGAGGAAAAAATCCTGGGACATTTAATGCGAGTCGGCACGCAAACGGTCAAATTTCACATTTGGTCACGTCAATTGTCCTAAGCGATTTACATCCTGACCATCCGCTTCGCATTTGATGTCATTACAGAAGGGCCCTTCGCTTTTTGAGCCTTCTTCAGCGTCAGGGTACAAATCTTTTATTGTTCATCCAAGGTACCGAGCCTGCACAGTCTCCCCAATGATATCCGCATTAGAATAACCTGCCTGCTTCTGACAGCAACACTTCAATGCAGAAATTAAATTCATTCTCGATGTAACCGCTAACTTGTTGAACTCGAATGCGATTTTTCGCATTGTTTTCTCCTAGCATCTTTCGTAGCCACAATACAGATCGATGCTCCGAACATATACATTTTTTATCTTTTCTGACATTGATTATGGCATTCGATGTATCCCGTCCCCATCATAGACATCTTTGTCTATGAGAAAGCTAATTTCTCGAGGCATTTCGAGTCACACTGTCATAATTAATATTGCTCGAAAATGAACCATACACGACACGAAATTACGTTCAGCCAAATCTCCGATACGACCTATCCCCTAATAGTATTCATCGTTAAGTAATATAATATGGTACTATATAGTCTTACATTCAATACCAACGAAACATTTCAGCGAGAAAGAGGAACTTCCTGCTTTTTAGAATTAAGGGAAAAGTTATTTACCACTTTGCCTTTCCGTTGTCGATATAAGTTTATTCCCAGAATAACCGCTTTATTTATCGCAATAGCGATAGACAGAAACGTTCTTCCTATACGAAAGACTATATCTCAATCGTGAAGAGATTGTTAAACACTATCAAAACATCGCTGTGATCACAAAGTTTAAAACCTTTCCCCATCCTTCACTAGAAAGCCACTTATCTTTTTTATTTGTTATCTTACTATTGTTTGGTCAATGTTGAGACCATATTTGGAAGTAAGTTCAATGAAGAGACTGTTAAAAGATGTGTTATTAAGAGATAATTTACAAGAGAAGATGGTAAAGGAAGCATCAGTATTTGCAGTAACTATAATTGATGACATCTTTATAGACTCTTGAGCAGTAGTAAAAATTCCTTTGCATAATTTGCAATTCGTTTATCTTACAGTATATCTCAATTCGGACGTCACACAATTTTGCAATGATGCGCGGTTTTTTTGTTTTTATGTGAAAAGGGTTCGAAGCTTTCCATAACGCCGTCTAACGCTCAAGTTCACAAATGCAAAGATGTAGAATGAAATAGGAATTTCTTATTTAAAAAGCTTATTACTATTCTTTGTTCGGAAAAGCAAGACGTGTCCGTGTGCGCGCGTTTAGCACTAATACACTATTCTCGCACGCCGATCTGTAATATTTCTGTCTCCTAATAAATCCCGATTACTTATTTGTTACTACTGCGTTGTTATTGCATTCGCTTAGCGAACTTGATCGTGATACTACAAGTTTTACCAATCATTCTGTTATAGAACCACGAACTTTATTTTATTGCGACAATTTGTTATAATAGTCTTTCCTTAAAAGTTTCTCTTCTGATACAGTAAACATCCCAATGCATTGTCATCCTACTGACACAAGAGTACATTGTTATGACTGACTCAATGAAACAAAATAATGTTACTCTTGTTAGCGTTTCTATAGTATCCACCATCTTTCTATATCAACACACGTGCTTATTCTTCTTCTCTCCTTTTTCATCCTCAACGACGCTCTTCCTCTCTCGTTCCCTTGATTCTTCCTGTTCAATTAAATCATCACCCGTTTTATCAGCCATAAATTCTTCATAGAAAGTGTGTTGAAGTACAGGTGCCGAGTCTCCTGATGCTGAGTAACGTCTTATCGGACGCGAATCTAGTAAACTGTTAATATAAGAATAAATTTGTGGTTCTGCGTATGTAAATTTGCGTCATTCGTCACTCTTGATCCGTTCCCCCGATCACTTACTTTTGCTCTTGTTTCTCCTTTTTCTCTTCATTAGACTGGCCATACTTCAGATGCCTTGTATTCTCATACACATCAGACGTAGTGGGAATCCCAGCTAAACCTGTTGGTGGATCGACGGTTGATATGATATGATCTTTCGATGGGTTTATACCTGCTTGTGGTTTTTGGGCAGCCATTTTGTGAATATATGAAGCGAACTCGAGAGCAATGGCTGAGCTTTTATGTGCGTTAAATTATGTCATATGAATGACATTTAGCAAAAGCTGGACATCGCAGACTAACTTTTTTGAGGTCAATATAAACGCAGCATGACTAAAAAAGTTAAGCGCGCGACAGGCGTTTACTTAGCCGAAGTCATGTGACGTAAGGCAACAATGGAATACTTATTGTTTACTCCGAATAGGCAGACATTGTCGTATGATGTTTATCTACACCAAATTTGGCTAATAGCCTGATTTTCATTTTTCATCATACGATCTTTTGATAATTGCGTGCAACATACGATCGAACATAACGCTATGTTTTAATAAAGTAATTTTGTAGAATATTATGGAATCTTGTAAGTCATTTAGTCGAACCACAAACGAGCACTAAGATACAATTTCCGCGGTGCGAACAAATAATATTAGCTTATGTGCGATATTAATATCATTTTCATAATGCTTAGTATACTTTGACAAATATCGTTGTTGATACAATGTATATTAATATGTACAGCCAAACTTAACTTTATAACAGTATTTCGTATACCGATAAAATTTTGTTTACCCGAATCAGTCCTAGCAGATTGTACTGTTATAAAGAGGGTCTCTGATTATACGAATAAACTGTTACTACCTATACAATATGGACAAGGACTTTGGCATAGTCGGCGGAATATGGACGTTGTATTAATGATTGGGGTGTGCTGCGACAAAGTGAACATTCTGTTATTTGACATAAGATGTGGCTGAAAGTTAACTAATTTGACTAATAATATCACAGCTGTAACTTATATGTAAGCCAGAATACAATTAACATTCAAGTTGGCTAAGGTAAATATTAATATTAAATCCACCATGGATTCCAAAAACTACAGCACAATTAGAAGCATTCTGAAGAAAGCTCAAGGTGAAAAAATTGCCCCATATATTTTTAAAATCAATGATATAAATACCCAAACTGTCCAGGAATATCTAGATCAAGAAAAAATTACTTATGAAATTTAAATTACTTTTTTACTTTCAATCAAGACCATCTTTTATTTTCTTTAACTTTAATTTGAGCAGTTAATTGGGTTTGCTGTTTCTTTAATTGCTCAGCTCACTTCAAGTCTTTGGATCTTATCCAATAATTCTTGCTTTCGCTTTTTATGTCAATTATCTAAGATTTTTAAGTGAGAACTGATTTCTTCCTTAGCACTGGCTAGTGCTTGGGAAATTTTCGTTTTAAATCCTTGTTTTGTTGTTCTAATCTACCCACATAACTCTGAGCCATTATTTCTGTTATGTCGGAGTTTTAACTGGTGGCTCATCTTTCCTTAAATCACAGAAACAATCTATTCTATTTCTCATAGCTCGACCACAATTATTACAATGTGGTAGAGCATCATTGCCAGGATCCTTTTTGCATTCAACACAGGCATAAGCAATATCACTATAATTATTATTTATATTGCTGGTATTGTAAGATAATATTTTGTAAGTAGTAGTAGCAGTTAAACTTCTTTCTTTTCAAAAGAGCAAAAATTGTAATGTCATTTATCTCCTCTTCTTAATTCAATAGCTTGATATTCTAACTTCATTATTTATTCTTTTGTAAAATGTAAGTGTCAAACTTCTCACTTTTGCTTGCTTAATTTGTAATTCTGCTTTTTACTTTGTTAGTTAGTATTAGGAGTTTAAATTTGTCTTGTTTCTTTGGTAAAGATGGTGGTTCTTGATATTGAAGTTGCTTGTTTGTTAAATAATTCTGCCATGCCACAACATTTTCTAACATTTCTATTTTTCTTGAAGCTTTTTCTAAGTTTTTATCTTTTTCTTTGCTTTGCCTTCTCTCCATTTCTAGCTACTTCAAGAGCATCTAAATGGCATTTATAAATGGTTTGCTCTAATTCTAATGCTTCTTCAAGACTTTTTGTTCTTTTAGTTCTTTAATTTGTTGATCTTTACTTTTTCTAATTTCTTCTAATTTCTTTTCAAACTCTCTCCTTTGTTCAATAATATATAGTACGTCACGATCTGCAACAAACTTGGTGATTATTTGGCCCCCAAATTATACAGTAGTTATTGTTGTTGTCTGCATAATAATAAGCATAACTTATCTTGCATGGATGCAACAATCTAACATGACGACTATTTACATATGTTATCAGTCGACATGATGTCAAATACACG